TATATGTACCTATTTACGTTCCGTGAACCCGCGCCGCGTCGCTTCTTATTAATATTCAGCTTGCATCGTGAACAGCAGAAAGTCGAAAGTCGGAGTCGAAGAAACGTCGTCTCGGCGAAATTATTCCCCTAGGACAGTTTTATGGTACTTGAACCGTCGGATTGGCGGACGTTGGGTACATTTCGACCGAAGTTTGCAAGGATTCCGTCTAAATCCGAATTTTTGCGGCAGTCGTTTGTAATTGTCGACAATTAATATTGATTCGAATAAAAAGATTCACATTGCTGCGAATGAAATAGGTTTGAAAATATACGAATGAATATTATTGATTATTACTATTATTATATATAATTATATAATATAATATAAATATAATATAAATATAATATAAATATAATACAAATATAATATAATATAATATAAATATAATATAAATATAATACAAATATATTACAAATATAATACAAATATAATACAAATATAATACAAATATATTACAAATATATTACAAATATAATACAAATATAATACAAATATAATACAAATATAATACAAATATAATACAAATATATTACAAATATATTACAAATATAATACAAATATAATACAAATATAATACAAATATAATACAAATATAATACAAATATATTACAAATATATTACAAATATAATACAAATATAATACAAATATAATACAAATATAATACAAATATAATACAAATATATTACAAATATATTACAAATATAATACAAATATAATACAAATATAATACAAATATAATACAAATATAATACAAATATATTACAAATATATTACAAATATAATACAAATATAATACAAATATAATACAAATATAATACAAATATAATACAAATATATTACAAATATATTACAAATATAATACAAATATAATACAAATATAATACAAATATAATACAAATATAATACAAATATATTACAAATATATTACAAATATAATACAAATATAATACAAATATAATACAAATATAATACAAATATATTACAAATATAATATAAATATAATAATTATTAATTATTATATATATATATATTATGGACCTAGCTAACTACTCGAACGTGTCCGCCGTCCAAAGGTTGAGGACGACCAGTATTCGGTAGAAACACACTAAAATCAATAATACAAGTTAACACTAATTTAACCGAGGCCTAGCATAACCGAGGTATGTATCCAGAAGTCCGGCCAGGTGTCACAAGATGACGGACAAGTGCCGGTGGTGGCGGTGACCCATGACGTTGGGTCGTATTCGCAGTTGAAAGGCAAAATTCCGGAGGCAGAGGAAACGATTTCCGCCACGAGCGCGTACGTCGAAGCGTAAACAGAAAAAAAAAGAATACGATACACGTTCGACGAGCGTGACAAAATGGAACCCACGGCTTGCCCGAATTTCGTTCTCGTCATGGCCCCGGAACCGTTCGCCTGCGCATCGTTTCATCGTCTCATCGTCTCATCGTTCCTGTATAAAAACACGCGGCAGCTATGGTCGCGTCGACGCGACGGGGTCAAAGGTTGGATAAGTCTCCGGCGTATGTTGAGTAAACACGACACAATGGCGGAGAGAAGTTCAGTGAGCAGAAACACGGCCCAGACACGCCGTGGTAAATGTGAATCGGTGCTGGACGACCTGGAAACCTTTACGGAGGCGCATCGAAGCCACGATCGGAGAATATCAACGAGAAAGAATGCGAATGCCGGGACGAAGGTTTCTCGCGCGTCGACTCTATTCAAAATTCCTCGGTTTTCTTCTCCTCGAGGAGTCCGGCGTAGAACGCTCCTCCTTTCTAATTTACGAGCCGAGGATGCGCGAGCCCGTTCCCTCGGATATGCGAGTCACACGGGGACCATTTCGGGCTCCGTGGTTCCCCCTTTGCGCCGTCCGAGTCCCGCGAGGAACGTGTTGGGACGCTCTTATACGGCCCCTGGAGCTGTTTTGACTCCAAGGACCCAGCTGGGGTCCTTGTTTTGACTTCGGGACGGTCCACGTTGCGCGGAACAATCGCTGGACGATCCTGCTCCCGACCGTGTTATCGTGCGGGCCACCCCCTCAATCCCTTCGCCTAAAAGCAATTACAGTAAAACATGAATAATTGCCCGGACCGACCTGCAGCGCGAATATACCCGGTAGTCGTCAAATAGCGTAACCTGACCCATACTCGAATGTCGGTGCGACGACATTAAATCCGACACCGTACCGACGCGATGTGATTAGAATTGTATTTTTCTATCGCATTCCATTCACTATCTCGGCCATTATCGTTTACTGAAAAAATGAAATTGCTTGAATTCACGTCGTATTGGAGATCTTGTTCTAAGAGTAAGAAAAATGCAGAATTACAGTAATTGTATACAATAATTATATTAGTATAATTATATTAGTATAATTATATTAGTATAATTATATTAGTATAATTATATTGGTATAATTATATTAGTATAATTATAATAATTATATTGGTAATTTTTACCGCATTGCCTCGAACAAGATGACAATGAAAGAACATCAATGCAAACGTACGTTCGTAATCGAGAGAACAAGTGGTTCCGGTACTTTGCAGAACTTTCGTTAATTCGAATGGTGTCTTGAAAACGGTCGTGACAAAGGGGAAGGTGACGTATTCGGAGCCGGTCGAACGGCTGACGCCGTTGTTGGCTTCGTAAAACGGAATCGAGACTAACGAAAGGAAGTGCACCGCGCGCGGTGTGGTGCTATGATCGTCGGAATTGGAACGAGCATACAATGAGCGCTCATTGCTCGAAACCGAATCGTTCCAGAGACACGGGATCGTTCGCCAGATTGCGTTTTCTGGCCAAATATAATTAGCCGTCGAACGCCGGGATGTTTGACGACGATCGAGCGAAACGAGCCTGGGTCACTTCCGACCCACGATCGAGTTACTGTTTACACGCGCACTGGGCGCCTATCTGTTCCGTCGTTGCTATCACATCCTGTCGTTTCGAACTTTCTATATATATATTTTTATATGATATATACATATATATATATATATTATAAATATATATTATATATTATAATATATTATAAATTATATATTATATATAATAATTATATATTTTTTATATAATATTCTATATATATTTTTTCATAATATCTTGTTAATTAATTACCGCGCTTTTCACTATTGTTATTCGCTTTGTTTTCAAATTGGAAACTCCTACGCGCGAACAACATTTCGGCAGGAGTATTATTGTAAATGTAAGTTCGACTCGAATATTGTTTTCATGTCGAATATCGTTTTCGGCTCAACTATTCATTTGGCCGGGAGACTGTTCCGATTGAACCGAGCAAGTTGGATCAACGAACGATGGCGTCGATCGAGACGCACGTAAATAGGTGTGCCATTCAACCGTTCCACTCATACCTACTGTACTCGTAGTACGTGTCTACAAGGCCACGGAGAGACGAATGCTCGATTAGTACCGTGGGTGAAGGGAGCTTCTTAAGCGACGTCCACAGCGCGATGTTTCGGACCCGGCCAATCTTCGATCTCCGATCCGCGGCAACTGTTATTTTCATCTCCTCCTACGTCGGACCGCTTGAATTTACTCTGAAACAGGTCCGACTTTAGTTTTCATAGATTTTCACGCGGCCGGGACGATTCGTTGCATTAGTTTTATTCGCGCCTTTTTCTATCGCAAATTTGAAATTTCACGCGTGGCGACACCTGTGCGAAAATGTCTGAAATCGGGAGCCGTTGCAGGGTCGATAAACCTTCTCGTCGTTTCTCTAAATTCGACTCGGAATAAGGATCGACCCGATCAATTTAATCGAATGGCTGCTGAACGATCTGTGAATAATTTCTATTTCAATGACGTGAAATTAAAGTTGGACGATGGTCGTTTCATTTCTTAATCGTACGCCGCTGATCTACTGGACATCATATATTGCCAGAAAAAAGAAACGATAACAGACTTCGCGGTGGTCTTTTCTTGTGTAAACGGAAGATTTCTTTTCGGGATTTCAGTGGGTCGCGTTCGAAAGCCCGCGAAATATTTGAGTTTCGTAGGCACAACGTGACTAAGTTTCTTCAACGGTTTCATAGGCGGCACCGTGTACAGGGGCGCGAGGCAAGGAAGCGACCAGGAGCACAAAAACCTCTTTCCTTTTCCCTCGGCGTTTCTTTGTGTCGAGCGATACTTTTGTGGGCACTATGCCGCGCGGCCATAAGCGTCGCGAGAGGAACGAATTCGTCTCTAGCGCCATTTAAGGGCACGCTTTCTACGAAACAACAGCGGATTTCCATTTACACGAGGCACACGGCGGTCTGGAAAGCGGCGTTTCGTCGCCAAAATGAAAGATTTCGTCGATTAACCGTTAATTACTAACGTATTAAAATTAACGTTCTACGTGTCGCTGGAGACTTACTTTAATTTGAGGAAATTGTGACAGTTTTTGGACCAGTCGCGGCATTCGGTTTATTAATCCTCGCAAAGCGGCGGCCGGGTCCATTTTGACCCAGAGCATATTTAAATCGTTCGCTCGATTACTTAATCTTCGACAATAAAATGAAAGAAATTGCTGATCCTCCGTCCGAGGATTAATTAGTACTTCATAACTTAATATTTGCGATGTAATATGTATTTAGAATCTAACTTGCGTTCCACAAATTTTTCTTCGATGTTCGGTACGTTTCTTAAAACACTATTGCCGAATTCGTCCCATAGTTTCTCGATTGGATTCGTATCAATAGATTATGGAGAGGTTACACCATAATGTGTATATGCTTCATTATTATCCTCCAGCGCTTGCAAATAGTTTTTACATATTTTTGCTGTAATCATAATTCTTTAGATGAATACTTTTACAGATAAGTATATGCAACAAAATTCAACAATAAATTGAATCCAGACAACCGCATCTGCGTTATAGTAATCATTTTCCTCAAAATAAGTGTTCGGTGACTTATAAACAGGGGGAGGAGGGGGGTATAGCCACTTAAATTAAACTTCAGTAAAATACTATACGATAAGTTACGGTTAGTCAGTTAGTTTTTAACTTCGTTTGCGTTTATTTATCTAGGGATTGGTCCCAATATCCCTATGTTATTCGAATGTGAAATTTCCTTGATCCTGACACCTGGTGCTACTCATAAGCAACGCCGACCGACGCGTCAAAGTTCAGTAGGTCAGTTCCATTTTCCTAGCGCGCGTATAACGCAATTCGGACGATTACTATAGTCTGCCGCTTAAATTGACACCTGGGTTACGCGAACGAAAGCCGTCGCATCTCATCAGCAGTTGTTTAAAATTATTTGCATTGGAATTTCGGTGCTCCATCGATAATCGCATGTCCGCGGACAATGGACTTATCGGTATTCGTACAGCGACTATTTAATGTGTAGAGAGAAACTCTGTAAAACTAGCTAGCAAACGTTCTAGGGAATTTTTTATATGGACAGATAAGTAGGTTATTTTATTCGATCTTCACTAAACTTCGAATATTATTGCTCCGAGTCACTAGAAACTAATTTGGAAACGAATTTCTAGTAAATCGATGTTTCGAAGCAATTGTGAAATAAGCTGCTCGAGAAAGATATGGAGAATAATCTGTATGCAGACGGTAATATCATGTTCGTACTGATCAAACATAGTTGCAGCAGTTGAAGGCACCGAGATGAAATTAAGGTTATGCATTCGCACCTCGTTTTGTTCCTCGACGACAAAGTTTTCGGGTCATCGTTCTCTCGTCAAGAGAATCTAGATTGATCGACGAAACTAGGGCAAGGTTGTATTTATCGGTCTGGGTTAGGTCACCCGTTATATGCGATACGTTCAGATTCTTTTTTATTCCATTTCGATCGCAAATCACGCGCTATTAAGCTAAGTCTTTCGTGCATATGTACTCTAGCTTTTTCTACAACTAGGATCGTTTGCGAGGAGCTACATCAACACCAGAGCCGTTCGTCGGCCGATAAATAACATGTATAATAGTGACAGAATTTGTCTGAAAAAGTTCTACATTTAAATACGAGGTTCCTAATTTATACATTTGCTAATATAGGATGTAAAAAAATATATTGCAGTCGTCGTTTAATTCGAGCGTGTGAATCTGTCTATAAAAAAAATGTAAATTTTCATAAGCGCAGTCTAATTACTGGTGTAGATAAACCACATGGTAAGGCGCATTGAAAGTACGAATAACGAGACCGTGTTCCGTCGATGCATATAAAGGAAAGAAAATGCAATGAGGTCAGCGACACTCGACGTCAGCAATTAAGGATTAAGACAGATCCTCGTCACCAATTCACGTTTCAAAAACGATCGGCAATGAGTCATATCGAATTACCAGGTCACTGCGACCCAAATAAAAATCATTGCTTTTAAAAAGATACTTGACATAGTAACAAGTTCGCTGGATATCGCCATTCTCGCAGAGAAGCTGTACCAGCTGTAATCCTCAACTTGTCCTGGACCAATTAAAAAGTCCTGATCCAATGAGATCCAATTAACTGGAACCATTTCGAACGTGTGAGACGTTGAAATCGAATGACCAAAAGACGGTTAATAAAAATTACAGGATTAGTTTTATTTAGATGTTTACGTCACGTAGAAAATAAAATTTTATTTACATTCGTCCATGAACTGAGGGATCATCGTTGTCTTTCCAGGTTCAGCGGCAACGTTCGATCCTGTAGTTCCAGACTTTTTTCAGCAGACTACGATCGATTAGGTCAGGTGTTAGAAATGATCCTAAACCACGCGAATCTGTGACCACACGCATTTTCACTAGTGAAAGCAAGTGATTTCCAACAATTGTAATTTTTCTGCTCGGATATAAGGAGTACTTACTGTTTTATGGCTTCACGGATAGCACACTACCGAACGTCCATGCTCGAATGTGATCGTCTTCAATCATGCCGGCAAGAAACAACCACGGTAAACGGCTGGGGAATCTCGTTTGTCCAAGCTAATTATTTCTTTCGTGCCGAACGGATCAATATAATTATTGAACCGTATCTTCCAACTGAATCTAATCTTTTCGTCTAGAAATTTTCGAGAGAGAAATTGGCCGCTAACGTTATGTCTCGGGCCGCTGTTACCGAGTGGACAGCCCCTGATGCCGTTATCTCACTACCAATATTCCGAAAACGTCGAAGGTCAACTGGATGCTAATTTGTGAAAAAAAAAGAAGAAATTCAAATTTTACGATCGTGTTCCCTACGGTGGTTTGAGGCAGAGTAGGAAGGGGGGGGGGGAAGGCTGGCATGACTAATAGCCAAATCAAAGTTAATGACCGACGAACTGTCCAAGGATGCGGCCTTGACAGAAAAATCTTTTTTGATCCGACACGCTCGAAGTGTGCAGTGACTGTCAAACGCCCTCGATTAATCCGGAATTATACAAGCAGTTCGGGGTTCATTACAATTTCGAGAATAATGCATGCAGAGATTGAGAAACTATTCTAGATACACGGGGGGAATTGGGCCATACAAATTTTTTAACTTTTTCATTCATATGGCGCGCATCGGTTGCAAAGTGGACGAACTTTTCATGCAACGTGATACACATATTTCGATTGCCCACGCAAAGAGGATAAATAATCGCGCAGTTGTAACGAAACATGGAAGCGGATCCGAGTGCGAAGGGTTTAAGAAATCTAACATCCCTGCACGTATTCATGCTCGGCGCAGGTTGCGAATTTTCTCATCTCCGTCGTGAGCGGAGGTGCGCGCTGTGTGTCGCCGCGCGGAGAGGGACAGCGAAGCAGGCCGCGAGAAAACGAGAGACGGAAAAAGAGAGGAGAGAGACTGTAGGAAGGGAGCGGAGAGGAGAGGAAAGGAGAGGAGAGGAGAGGAGAGGCGAGGCGGAGTGCACCGTTCGTACCAGGCGGTGCGCCCTGGTACCGGCGCGGCGGGCAGGCCGACAGACTCGGACAGACTCGGCGAGACTCGATCAGAAAAGTCGAGGAAGAGGAGAGGAGTCGAGGAGGAGGGAAGCCGGAGAAGTGCACTACTCGCCTACCTTCGTTCCTCGCTATGGATCTTTTTTCCTTTTTCTCTCTGTTAGCGCGCGCGCGCGCACGAGCGAGCGAGCGAGCGAGCGAGATCCTCTCTCGCGACCTTCTCTAGCCGGGAGAGCCTCCTCTTCGTGAGATGATACCCGGACACGTGTTTTTGAATTATTCAGGATCCTCTTTTTCGGACTCTCCGTGGTCTTTATCGTTCCTTTTTCGGCGTTTCTTATTATTTGCTCGAGAAATCTGTATATTTTTTCAACTTGTAAATGTTAGTTTGTCAATCCTACCGCGTTTTTGCGCTGTAACCGTGAAAGCTATGCGATCGACTCTTGCGTGGGCTGATTCTGCATGCTTTCTTGGGCTTAACGATGTTTTGGATTTATGGATATTTTGGAAGCAAGTTGAGGAACGGTGAGAGTCCGAGGCAAGACGGTAGCTACTGCGCTACCGCATAGAGCGGATAGATCAAAATATTCAAAGGCATGTTCGTAGAATCATTTTATCTAACGAGTAACCGCGTGGCTATAATTGTTAAAGCTTGATGCATCGTCGAAGATGAAAATTTACGCAACAGATAGGTGATGTAACGAATAAAATGGAAATATGAAATTCTTCCGTATCCGACGTTCTTCCCCCGACTTATCTGCTATATGTAGACATTTAGATTAGACATTTTCTTCTTAATCGTTAATCCTGAAAAACTTCAGAATTTGTAAGAAAAATGTAAACAATGCTGCAATAGGATAGATGCTTCTCTTTAATAGTTGTTATTCAGTTTGTTTTCCTTTGCGCCTGTTGTCATGTTTTTCAAAAGTACCGAGCAACGTGCTTCGATACTGTTTATAGTTTGAAACATTGGTAGCAATTAAATTGTACTGTTTCTATCATCGCTATGATGATAAAGTGAAAGTTACTTAATACAGAGCATTAAAGTGTTAGTTCTCTGGAATCACTATTATTTTCTAAAGCAATTTGTAATTAACATTAGCCTATTTTATACGTTCCATTCTTCTCAACAAACAATTTCCATTTATTTCGCAATTAGTGTGACACAGTGGATTCACACAGTCTGCTTTCGAACCGAATGCACAGTCAGTTGTTATTGGTGTCTGGGTGCACCTGGAAGATATTAAAAGATGAGAATGAACAGAAGATTTCACGCTTCTCAGATGGTGATTAATGAGAAAAATCGTACAATTTTGTTATGTAGCCAAAGAGGAGGAAAAGAAATCCAAATCTCTCAATCTATGCGGAGAAACGCGCACAAGATTGCGATCATCGTTGTGAAACGTGTCGTCCTCTGTGACGTTAAATCGGCGATATGCCATTTGTTCGCTTGCGAGGGCACGTTTGTTGTTGAACCGTGACCAAGATTGCTGAAATATTCACAAATCGAATGACAGCCGCGTAAAACGAAAATATTTGTAATACTTTCGCCCGTCATGGAGATCTGTTGTAAAAAAGCACTTAATTCCTTGGTATCCTCATTCGTTTTACTTGCATAAGAGACAGCTGAAACTGCAGGATGTTTATGAATTGATGGCGCAATCTAAAAAGCGATGACATTCTGCGTAAAAATAACGAAAAATAATGAAAAATAATGCAAAATGAAGAAAAAAGTGGTTGTATTTAATAGCATGAAATACTAAAATTGTATCCTCCATTTCTGACCTTGTATGACGTTGATGTTTATTGATTTATCAATGTTTCATTTCAAACATTGATAGTCAGCTTTGTTTTCTCGAAAAATCTGCAGATAAAAGAAGTGTGTAACGTCATAGTTGTCTGCAAAAAAGCAATACAACTCCTCCCTCTTTCATTTTCTTTCTGCATATTTATCATTTACGAGAAATATATTAATAACCCTGTCGTTGGCGTAAGGATTATTAACGACGCTTCGTCTCTTGCGCAACCTTGTGCATTTTATTTTCTCGGTCGAAAGCAAAATCTGTATAGCACACTTTGTGATCCTGGATTCGTGTTTTGCCTACCAAGAGGTCCACGATAAACCATCTATTAGTTCGGTCACTACGAAACCTATCGGCAAAAAAGAAAAGTAAAAATTTGTTGAATAACATAATTATTGTTTCTGTTATCGACAGTGCGTCATCGAACGAGAAAGGTTAAGCGTCCTGTTGACGTTATCCTTGAAAGGATGCACATATACGGCAGCTAGGGAACGTGCTAGATAACCGATTCTAGCTAGATTCCATTGAGATTCTATCTGCACGGTGCCAGCCGGTACCGTTCTGTCTCCCATCCATGGCCTGACGTTCTTTCTTCATTTTTCTTTTGCAGACATGAAGCCGCGATTGAAAACACATTCTACATTTATCCTCCTATGAAAATAAAAGCGTGTTCGACGATGAAATAGAAGAAAGCGGTTTTTATTCGAATTAGATAACATCTCGCGTTCTCGCGGACTTTAGTGAAAACTCAGCTTGCGCTGAAAATTTTGTAATTCCCGCTGTGCAATTACGCGTAATTGTAATTACCCGTAGACATGCAATCTATAATTGTGAACGGCACGTTCACGCGCCCTGGAAAGGCTATGGTTTTCTATTAGGGTTACCAGTTGTACTCTTTTTGAGGTTATGCCACATTTGTATTCTTACGTTTAAGTAACGCATACAACGAGCAATTTCCTACATAATCTTTTCCAATTTTTGCGCCCGCTACGTTACCTGATTATTGAAGGTTCGGTCTTTAAAGTTGATTTTCAATTTTTTCAAGGTGGCAAAACGCCGTGCCATCTGGTGACTATATTTTTATGCTTCACTGAATTTACCAGAAAGTTGGTAACCTATATCACTGCGCGTAATCCGAAACCGTTATTATTAAATATATTTTTGATTCTCTACGAAAAGTTCGATACAGATTCCTAATTGGTCTAGACGTCCCACATTTAACCTATTTAAGCAATATCTCCAGCGAAACTGCGTCGAATTAAGTTAATCGAAACTGTCATCTCGTGCACGGAGATCGTCTTCTACAGTGAAGACTACTTTCATCACTTTTCGTGCATATTTAACGATTTCTACGCAATAATTGGCTGCTTAGATCGCTTGTAGAACGAACAATTACACGAACCATCGACTGCTACGCATCGATCGATATGAAAGAATGAATTTCACCTAGCTCGGATTTCGAGCGATTCGAGTTGCCTGCGCATTTCGAACGCTCGAAAGCTTGTCTTTAATTCTAACTTGTATTTGAATTACTTCCTCCAACTGGGAACAGGTTCGAGGCTGTAATCGTTGTCATCCTGTTTGTGAAACGATGCGGACGGAATGCATACGAACAAAAGAAGTTCTCGATCCCGTGAAGCGGATCTTTTCGATCGCGCGTTGCCTAGGATTCTCGCGTTACACCTAGAGAGGAAACCACCAGCATCTGCTGAACCTTTCACCTATCACGCCACAGATGCATCGAGTCACGTTCTGTCCCAAACTGTTACCGTCGGATTATTTGAACGAATTATAGCACATTCTTGAAACGGTTCTCTATTGATACGGTCTATTGAAACCTTGTGAATTCTTAAATTACAATATTCAACGTCCCGTTTCGTACTAGATCGAGCGATTTAATCTTCTTCATGGTGGCACGTAGCTCGGTCCTACCAACTTAACAAAGTTACAAACCCGCGAACAGTTTAAAATATAGAATGAATCATATCGAAAATTATATAAAACCATTTCTTGTTATTCTTCAGTTATTATCTTAAAGTTAGCAACAAAGAAGTTACTGAAATCGTACACAACTAAAATATTGTTTTAAACTTGATTTAAATAGTAAATTGAGTAATTTGTTGGGTATCCTTGACTACTTTCCGCTATGATCGATCTCACCAATTTTTCGATTAAATCAGGATCAATGTTTATAATTATTGTAATTTTTATAGTCACTTTTATAATTAATGTTTCATCATCCTTTTAACTCATTTGCTTTTGGAGAATCTTCTAGATTACTAAGAAAATGTATACTGTACGATTTTAACTGTGAGATGTTTTTTTAAGCTGAATTATAGTAACTTGTTTTTGTTAATTTAAGGAAGTTCTTCTGATTTGGCATTGATACATAAAAAATATAGATTCCTTAATGGATTAATTCTAATTTCGTAGTTTCCATTGTTTACTATTCGTAAGTAATAAAAGGTCCTGTTAGGAAATAGTAAAGAATATTGGTATATAATATTATTTTTGTGACTGAACTTCAACATTGGCTAATAATTTACTGTTTGTTTCTTGTTATAGCACCCGATAGCAGCGGATGCGTCGGTAATAGTTACAAATGTCTTGATGGCACTTGTATACCGGCTACCTTAGTTTGCAATTATCAAAAAGACTGCGAAACTGCGGAAGATGAATTCCAGTCGTGTCGTGAGTATTATTTTCAATTTAGCTTTATCTAATACAAAGGAAATTATACTGAAAAAAAATAAATGTTGTGCATAATGACTGAAACACTTCCGGAGATTACGCGTTTCATAGAAAACTTGTAAATATGATGTATTATGTAACTTCTGATATCTTTTGTTCCTACAATGCATTAATGTCGTGTAGTAGTATGTATATGTACATTGTCATAGCATCTCCATGAATAAAATGGTTTATCATGTATTGTATCTCAATCATTATTGAGAATGATGTAACATGACATTGTCAAGCGTTAAAGAACAATAGAGTTTAGAATCAGATAAGAAAAATAAAAAAAGAACAGCGATTTCCTTTTAAGAAATAGTATAACAAACAAGTTTACTGTGTTCTGGTATTCATTTAATGATAAACCAAATTAATTTTTCAGCTCCACCTGAGTGCGATGCTGGACAGATTACCTGTGGCCAGTATATCTTCAATAAGACTTATTGTATACCTCCTCATCAACGATGTGACATGACAGTTGATTGTGTCGACGGGACTGATGAAGCTGGCTGTAGTGAGTATTGACTAATTATATTTGTTGTCTACCTCATTATTTAAAAACTTGATACAGAAGACAACTTATATTTATATCAAAATCGTATTCGAGAAATATTCAAAGAATTAGATAAATAAATATGGCCTGGTATAAATAATTCTATACAAAGAGTTTTTGTTTAACATATTATTTAATAGGTTCAAAATAATTGTCTTCTGATACGGTTCCCGTTTAAGACCTACGATTTCCAATGGAATAAAACGAATTTTAAACGATAGAAATATTGTAAAGATTACAGGAAATGCCAACCCGATGACTTCCGGTGCGCCGTCGGCACAACTCCAGAGCTTTGCATCCCGAAGGAGAAGAAGTGTGACGGATACCTAGACTGTCGGAATGGCCGGGACGAAGAAAAGTGTGATAGTATAAAGTCTGCCTGCAGGTTGGACCAGTTTCGGTGTAACACCACGCAACGTTGTATTGAACAATCGGCTCGGTGCAATTACAAAGATGACTGTGGAGACAACAGCGACGAAGAAAACTGCAGTATGTCCATTTTTCTTTTTATCAAGCCATACTTCAATGAATACACCATATCATACTTCTAATTCTATTTTCAGGCTTCCCACCGTGCTACATGAACCAGTTCAGATGTGCCAATGCTTTATGTATACCAAAATCTTATCACTGTGACGGCTTCAAGGACTGTCACGATGGCTCCGACGAGAAGTCCTGTGCAGTGACTGTTTGTCCTGGCAATAAGTTCATGTGTCCGAAGGGTGCACCCGATGATAAACCTTTATGTATCGACCGGTCACAGCTCTGCGATGGGAAATCTGACTGCGAAGACGGTGCAGATGAAGATGCTGCATGCTGTAAATATCAGTTTTTTCATTCATTAGCTTATCTATGTATACTACTCGAAACTGTAAGATTTTGCTTTATCCTGATGCAATAAAATATAGTATTGCTGTCACTATTATTCTGCAGCAAATGATAGATGTCGTCACATTGACACCATAAGAAATTACTAACATTAAATTTTTCCTTTTAACTAATACGCTTAAATGGATTTACAGAGCAGGTACGTCGATCCTCACCTTTTAAACGTTATGTGCATCATGAGAATTTAGTCCGGATAAGAATTCAATTAATTTCACTACTCTTTATTTCTTTGCAGCGATGGCCAGGTGTGGGAATCTAATGTGTCACTACCGTTGCCAGCCGTCTCCCAACGGAGGCGCCTGCTACTGCCCCGAGGGCAGAGTTCTTGCTAATGACTCAAGATCTTGTGTAGGTACGTTTGACTGACCTTATTGATTCATTGGTTACATTTTATGTTAACCCTCCTACAGTCCTAAACTCTTAGAAAGAAATCTGACGCTACTCAGACTCAAAAAAAGGAATGAATTTTCGTACTGAGGAACGTATAAGGGTTAATAACAATCGTTTACATAGCCGATCTCCTGAAGTAAAAATGATTTGAAATGTCTGTTTTCATGGATAGACCGTGACGAGTGTTCGGAATGGGGTTTCTGCGAACAATTGTGCAAGAATACTGACGGGTCTTACGTCTGCAGCTGCGACCCAGGATACGCAATCTATGGACGACACGCGTGTCGAGCAGAAACCACCGAATCAGGTGTCAATTTGGAGCTCCTGGTCGCTCAGGATCGTGCCGTATGGAGAATGTCTCCAACCGGTGAAGACCGAATTATCGTTGCCAACACGACTGGTGCCAGCGGAGTGGATTACCTTTACTCTCGGGACCTTCTCTTTTGGAGCGATGTTAAAACCAGAAAAGTGCATTGTCAGCTGTTGAATGGCAAAGACACAGGTTCGAACGTGGACATATTCTTGGCAAGCTCGTGGAGTCCAGTGGCTGTCGCCGTGGACTGGATAGGAGAGAAGTTGTACGTAGTGGATTCAGCGGTTCAGAAGATCGACGTGTTCGAGTTGGATGGCAGATACCATGGCATCGCTTTGGGTTCCAATCTAACTAATCCAGCAGACATTGCCTTGGATCCCACGATAGGCTACATGTTTGTGGCTGATGGGAAACAAGTTTTAAGAGCCAACATGGATGGTACTGTAGCTTTTCCAGTGGTTTCTGAGGCAGCTTATAAGGTATCCGGAGTGGCGGTAGACATAATTGCTCAGAGAATTTTCTGGTGTGACTCTCAGTTAGATTATATCGAAACGGCTAACTACGTCGGAAAGAACAGAGTCATGGTACTCAGAGGATCGCATACTCCTTCTCCAACAAGACTTACAATGTTTGAGAACAAACTCTACTGGACAGACAATACGAAGCAAGCCATCTTGAGCATGGACAAGAACCAGGGAGATCCTTCTCTGCAGACGGTTTATAAAATGAGAGATGCTAAATCTATTAAGACGCTGCATCCTCTAATCCAGAGAAAGGTTTCCAATCCCTGTGGTAATAATAACGGAGGCTGTCAACACATGTGCATCGTGACTGCAGCTAGTGATCAGGAAAACAGGCTAGGCTATCGGTGCGCTTGCGACATAGGTTGGAGGCTTTTACGCGATCAAAGAAACTGTAACTTGGTTCGCGAATTTCTGATGTATTCTCAGCAAAGGTTCATCAAAGGCAGAGTACTAGATCCGGTGATGGAAGGTTTCAGCGACGCTATTTTACCTGTAGTCTCGAGGAGAGCCAGATTCGTTGGATTGGACTATGACGCTCGTGACCGGTATATTTATTACAGCGATGTGCTACAGGATGTGATTTACAGAATTCATCAAAACGGCACTGGCCGCGAAATCGTTCTAGCTAGCCAAAACGAAGGTGTTGAAGGTTTGGCAGTCGACTGGGAGGCGAAGAATCTTTACTACATCGATTCGCGTAAAGGAACCTTGAACGTCCTCAGCACCAGGAACGTTACCTACCGTAGAACACTACTGAAGAACTTAAAACGACCAAGAGCTATTGTAATCCACCCTAATCAAGGTTACATCTTCTTCTCTGAATGGGACCGACCCGCGAATATCAGTAGAGCTTACACGGACGGATCTAACTTGATGGTTTTCAAGAACTTGACGCTTGGCTGGCCAAACGGTTTGGCTATCGACTTCGATAAAGACAGATTGTACTGGTGCGATGCGTTACTGGATCATGTTCAACATTCCAATCTGAATGGCACGGATGTCCGCACGGTTAATTCCAGGCTCATCCGGCATCCTTTCTCTATAGCTATTCACGAAGAATGGATGTACATCACCGACTGGCGGCTGGACGCTATTATCAGACTCCATAAGAGATCCGGTGAACAGGAAGCAATTTTGGTACGTGAGCCAGCTACCAACAGACTATACGGGGTTAAAGTATTTAGCCCGTATATCCAAGCCCCTCAGTTTAGTCATCCGTGCGCTGTGTACAATGGCTGGTGCCAGAAGTTGTGCTTCGCTATTCCTCAAAACAACACGAATAGGTACGGGACCGCCAAACTAACGAAAGTTTGCGGTTGTCCTTACGGTGAACGACTTCAACATGATAGAACGTGTGTACCTGATCCGGATGCTGAACCACCTTTGGAAGCTTGTCCAAACGCGTGGGACTTCACCTGCGCGAATCAGAGATGTGTTCCTCATACCTGGGTCTGTGACGGCGAGAACGATTGTTTGGATAACAGTGATGAACAGAACTGTACTAAACCAACATGCGGGCCCAACGAGTTCCAATGCAGATCTGGCAGATGCATGCCTATGCACTTCCGATGCGACTCTGAGAATGATTGTGGAGATTACAGCGACGAGGCAGACTGTCCAAATCGAACCTGCAGCGCCAATCAATTTGCTTGTAGTAACAACAGGTGCATACCCAGTACCTGGAGATGTGACTCGGAAAATGATTGTGGAGATAGTTCTGATGAGGGTGATTTTTGTGTAGCTAAGACCTGTTCTTACTTCCAGTTCACTTGTCCTAGATCAGGGCATTGCATACCACTGTCTTGGGTTTGCGATGGTGACAATGACTGCTTCGACCAACAAGATGAGATGGGCTGTCCACCTGTCACCTGTCTCAGCACTCAGTTCACCTGCGCCGATCAGAAAATGTGTGTCCTCGACTCGTACAAGTGTGATGGTATCTCCGACTGCAACGATAGCAGCGACGAATTTGGGTGCCCTTCGTTGGAACCTGATCAGTGCAACAATGACAAGCAGTTCCAGTGTGCCAGTTCAGCCATATGTATACCCAAAAGCTGGTACTGTGACGGAACTTATGATTGTCCAGATAGGTCTGATGAACCAGGTCCTTGTAGGAACGTTGGTTGTCGACCAGGATTCTACAAGTGTGCTAATGAGAAGTGCATGTTCAAGGCTTACATCTGTGATGGAAAGGATGACTGTGGGGATGGGTCCGACGAGGACCCTGAACTGCATGCCTGCACGTCGCCGGAGTTCAAGTGCGATTCCCATCAGTGGAAGTGTCCTAATGTTACTGATCGGTGCGTGAACATAACCAGTGTATGCGATGGGAAGTTCGATTGTCCTAATGGCGCTGACGAAGGTCCAGGATGCGACTTCGAAGAGTGCATTCCTAGAGGAGGGTACTGCAGTAATGACTGCATTCAGACACCCATGGGCAAACAGTGTATTTGTCCTTCAGGAGAGGAGCTCAGCAAAGATGGATACACCTGCCAGGACATAAACGAGTGTGATCCTCCTGGACGGTGTTCACAGATCTGTACAAACATCAAGGCAGGCTATTACTGCAACTGTGTCGATGGGTATGTTTTAGAGAAGGATAAGCATACATGCAAAGCTTTCAACCACAGTGCTGCTTTCCTGATTATATCCAATAGGCACACGATTTTGGTGGCTGATCTTCAAGATCAGGCATTGGAAAGGGTACCAATAAATGTGGAAAATGTCGTAGCGACGGCTAGCAACATGCACACTGGTACAATCTTCTGGTCAGATATGAAATTGAAGAAAATATCTAGGTTAGATAGGGGTACTGATCCTGAGGATGTTATATCCACTGGATTGGACTTGGTGGAGGGTCTTGCATACGACTGGATTGGTCAGAATTTGTATTGGTTGGACTCTAAACTGAATACCATTGAAGTAGCTAAAGAGACTGGTGCTAGTCGATTGATACTGGTCAAGGAAAATATCACTCAGCCTAGAGGTATGTGTCTGGATCCCAGTCCCACAGCAAGGTGGCTCTTCTGGACAGATTGGGGCGAGAATCCTCGAATTGAAAGAATCGGAATGGACGGTACTAACAGGTCTACCATAATCAGTACCAAGATCTACTGGCCTAACGGACTCGCCTTGGACATAGCAAACAAAAGGATATATTTCGCTGATAGCAAACTGGACTTCATCGACACCTGCCTCTACGACGGAACCAAGAGGATTCAAGTATTGGCTAGCTCCCATTATCTGCTACATCCCCATTCGTTGACTCTTTTCGAAGACACCATGTATTGGACAGACAGACAGCTCAACAGAGTCCTGTCAGCCCACAAGTTCTATGGTGCCAACCAAACCGTTGTGTCCCATCTGATTTCACAACCACTGTCTATCCACGTGCATCACCCAGTTCTGCAGCCGATTACACCAAATCCTTGTATGAACGCCACCTGTGCTCATTTGTGTCTCTTATCACCAACAAATCCTCAAGGTTACAACTGCAAGTGCCAGATAGGATTCCGGCTGCTTCCTAGTGGTCAGTGCCAGGAGGAAGAAACGCCGTACTTGATGGTGTTACGGGGTTCGCAGATAGTAGACGTTTCCTTGGTTCCAGGCAGCACTAAGACCGGCTACATAACTCCAGTGGTGGGGGTTGAGGGAGGTAGGTTTATCGACTACGACAGAAAAGAGAGGATGATTTATTGGTTGCAGACCAAGGATGACGACGATGAAAACGGTACAATTTACACGACTCCCTACAGTGGAGGAAACAGAACCGAATTCCCAAATCCAGCAGGGGACAGTGGTATAGTGGGCGCACCCTCTGCCATGGCTTTCGACTGGCTGGGAAGGAATCTGTTCATAGGGAACAAGTTCGCGTCCAACATTGAGGCCATCAAAATTGATGGCAAGATCAGGTATAGAACCATAGTCTTGGCAAATGATGGTAATGTGACCTCTGTGGCCAAACCCAAGGCCATGTGCGTGGACCCGTTGGAAGGACACATATTCTGGGTGGACGAAGGTAGCTTTGGGATACCAATGAAAATTGGCAGAGTCAACATGGATGGTACAAATCCTATCATACTGGTGAAGGACGTACCAAGACCGGAGGCTATAACAATAGACATTCCTACTAAGACCATTTACTTCAGCTCTTCATATCCTGCCCTAATTGTGGCTATATCAACCGACGGTCAAAATCGACGGACCATCGTTTCTCAGAATATCGCTTTGCCCAAGGCACTGGCTGTTCACGAATCTAGGCTTTATCTCCTTGACCCATGGTACGACAAAATTGAAAGAGTAGATCTTCCTGAGGGAGGCAACGCTACGACCATAATCGATAACGACTCCGAGCTAAAGACATTGACTATCTACAAGAAACGCGTCACCGGTGAACATCCCTGTTTCGGGAACAATGGTGACTGCGAGCAGATTTGCTTACCCGCCTCTGGAGGCACAAGAGTCTGCGCCTGTGGCATGGAGTACCGCAAAGTCAGCGAAACCGCCTGTGAACCGTTCAAAACCTTCGCTGTGGTGACTCAGTTAGATGTGGCAAGAGGATACAGTCTGAAAGACGCCAAGGAAGCTATGGTTCCCATTGCTGGAGTCGGGCATCACATTCTCCATGTTGATGTGCACTATGCTGGCAACTGGATCTACTGGGTGGAGTTTACCAGAGGATATTGGAATGGCATATTCCGTGTCAGACCCAATGGCACCGAGTTGCAGCACATAATCAAGCAGGGTATAGGCTCGAATGGCATCAGGGGCTTAGCCATTGACTGGGTAGCTGGTAATCTGTATTTCACCAATGTCTTTCCACATGACAATTACGTCGAGGTGTGCAGGCTTGATGGTAGCAATAGGAAAGTTCTCGTGAAAAAGACTACCGACTCACCCAGGGAGTTGGCTGTTAATCCCATCAAACGATATCTTTACTGGATCGATTATGGCCAGTATCCGAAGCTGGGGAAGGCTTACTTAGATGGAAGCAACTGGTTACCGATAGTCACCTCTGGCATAAGTACTCCTAGGGATATAACTATTGATCTCGCTACTCATGATGTCTATTGGGTGGACTCCAAGCAAGATACCATTCAAAAGGTGTCGTACACAGGTGGGCACCGTGAGATCATTAGACGCAACCTACCCAATCCCATGGGAGTTGCTATTTATGGTAATGATGTGTACTGGGTCGATAGAAACTTGGCAACGGTGTACAAGGCCAGCAAGCGTGCCAGCACCAATATTACTCCAGCCACTACAGTCAGATCTAATCTACAAAAACTGAGAGATATCGTTATGTTTGATCAAAATAGTCAACCAGCAGATCCTACAAATCCTTGCGCTCCAGGTGGGAAGGCAGGATGTGAGCAGCTCTGTTTCGCTATGCCTAAGGAAATGGCAATGTCATCTACGATGGAGTACACCTGTGACTGCGCTGTTGGTAAACTGGCAGACTATAGTTCCGGTTCAGAGTATCCGACGAGTTGTAAAATTGTGGACGAATATCTGGTGTTTGCGACTAGAACAGAAATTAGGGCTATAGATCTGAATCCTCAAACCACAAGCGTGCCATTCCCCGCTGTGGGGAACTTAACCAACGTGGTTGGCGTTGACTTTGACTATCAGGATAAGAAGCTGTTGTTCACACAGATTCGACCTTGGGCCAAGATCGCCTGGATGCAAGCGGACCACCCATCTTCATCCGACATTCACACCCTGATCAGTAAAGGAATCAATCCGGAGGGAATTTCTTACGATTGGACTCAAAAGAAGGTCTACTGGACTGATTCCTCTAATAACAGCATCTACGCGATGGACATTGACGGCTCGAATCTTGTGATGATAGCCAGAGTGGACAGGCCCAGGGCAATTGTTGTTGATCCTTGCAATGGCTCTCTATATTTCACTGACTGGGGCCGTTTCGGCACTTCAGGAAAGATCTTCAGGACCACTATGGCAGGCTCTTTGAAGAAAGCTATTATCGACAAAGATCTCTCGCAGCCGAGCGGCTTGGCTATCGATTACGATGACCACATGTTGTACTGGACTGATGCAGTTCGCGAGAAAATAGAACGTTCCGAGTTAGATGGTAAGAACCGTCAAGTTCTAGTCAGTGCGACAATATATCCTTTCGCCATAACTGTCTTCCGAGAACACATCTACTGGACGGATCTTCAGTTAAGAGGCGTGTATCGTGCGGAGAAACACACCGGGGCCAACAAAGTGGAGCTAGTGAAACGACTGGATGATTCGCCACGGGATCTGCATATTTATTCGGCAGGTAGACAACAGTGCAAAGTAAATCCTTGCAATATCCTCAAGGGTGGTTGCGATCAGTCTTGCCATCCAGGTGTAAATGGATCCGTTGAATGCAAATGCGACGACAACAGCCGGCTTGTGAACGAAGACAGAATGTGCGTGCCAAAGAATGTCACCTGTGACTCCAGCAAATTTGCCTGCAGGAATGGTCGCTGTATATCTAGGATGTGGGCCTGTGACGGCGATGATGACTGCGGAGACGGTTCCGACGAGGACACCAATTACTGTTCCTACCACTCGTGTAGCCCCAATGAGTTCAGATGCAACAACGGCAGGTGCATCTTCAAAGCCTGGAAATGTGATCACGAGAACGATTGTCGCGACGGCAGCGACGAGGAAGGCTGCGTCTACCCTCCTTGTGCTCAAGGCGAGTTCACCTGCGCCAACTACCGTTGCATCCCACAGTATCAGGTCTGCAATGGTATCAATGACTGCAAGGACAACGTCACATCGGATGAGACCCACGAACGCTGTCCCATGAACACAACCTGTCCTCCCAATCATCTAAAATGCGAGAAGACCAACATCTGCGTGGAACCGTACTGGCTCTGCGATGGCGACAACGATTGTGGAGACAACAGCGATGAAAATCCTCTGCATTGCGCACAGAGAACCTGCCCGCAGAACAGTTTCAGATGCCCCAACCACAGGTGCATCCCTGCTACATGGTACTGTGATGGAGACGATGATTGTTTGGATGCTAGCGACGAACCACCGGGCTACTGTCAATCAGAAGGCAGAACTTGCTTTGGAGACTTGTTCACTTGCGACAATGGCAACTGCATTCCAAGGATGTACATCTGTGATGGAGATAACGACTGTCTGGATAACTCTGACGAGGATGAAAGGCACGAGTGTAACGACAGGATATGCGACGAAGAGACCGAGTTCACCTGTACAGCGAATAAAGTTTGGAATAGGGCTCAGTGCATCCCCAAGAAGTGGTTGTGCGATGGAGATCCGGACTGTGTCGACGGGGCTGACGAGAATGTGACTATGCATCATTGTCCTGCGCCTGTTCCCTGTGCAGACGATCAGTTCACCTGCGAGAATGGACGTTGCTTGAATCAGAACTGGTTGTGCGATCATGACAATGATTGTGGCGACGGTAGCGACGAAGGAAAGTTCTGCAACTCGAAATACAAACCTTGCACCAGCCAGGAGTTTGCCTGCCACAACTTCAAGTGCATCAGGAAACAGTTCCGCTGCGATGGTCAAGATGACTGTGGGGATCATTCGGACGAAGATGGATGTCGTAAGTATATTCAGTCTTTCCGAGCGTTGATAAATATTGCTGGTGGTTCGATATTGATACATATTATTGTTCCTGTTTACAGCACCGAAAGTGAAAAACACCACGTGTCCCAATCCAGGGGAGTTCATGTGCGCCAATGGAAACTGCATCGACCAACGTTTGGTCTGCAACAAGGAACCCGACTGTGGAGACGAGAGTGACGAACCTGCTCATTGCAACGTGGACGAATGCGCTCAAGTAGAGATGAACCAGTGCGGACATAAGTGTGTCGACACACCCACTAGTTATTACTGCGAATGCAACCCTGGCTACAGACTGTTAGCCGATGGCAAAGCTTGCGAAGACATAGACGAATGTGTAGAGACGCCACAAGTGTGCAGCCAGCAGTGCGAGAACACACCTGGTAGCTTCTATTGCAAGTGCAACGAGTACTGGTACGAGCGTGCCGCTGATGAGCACACTTGCAAGAGGCGGGACAACATCAAACCTTGGATCATCTTCACCAACAAGTATTACGTCAGGAACATGTCCATCGACGCCTCAAATTACAGCCTGATGCATCAGGATCTGATTAATGTCGTCGCCCTGGACGCTGATTATAGATCAGAGATGTTATATTTCTGTGATGTTACTGCTAAGACCATATTCAGGTAAAGTTTGTTACGTTAATGTTCCCTAGGTGAATTTATGGATGCCTTACACATAAACATTAATTTTAGAGCCCCGATCAAGGGTGGCGAGAAGGAGGCAATTATTAGACACGACAGTCTTGGATTAGAAGGCATAGCAGTCGATTGGGTTGGTGCTAAGTTATACTGGTTGGATCGACATGCTAAGCAGTTGGATGTCGCTGAAATGAATGGCACCAATAGGAAGACTATACTGACTGGTATACCAGACCCACGAGCAATTGCTGTGCATCCTGGTACCGGGTATTTGTACTTCACCTCCTGGCATCTGCAGGTAAACATCGCCTCGAGAAAATACTAGCCTTCTTTCAAACAATTAGAATTTGCAAATAGTATTGGTATGATATTGTTGGCAATAATGTATTGGAATTTGTAGGCATACATAGGAAAGGTGGGAATGGATGGCAGCAACTTTACAAGCATACTCACGTGGGAGGATGACATTGCGTGGCCTAATGCTCTAACCATCGATTACTTCACCGACAAAATCTTCTGGGCAGATGCTCACTTAGACTACATAGCATTCGCTGATTTGGAAGGTCGTAACAGGAGAAAAGTCCTTACAGGAAACGCAGTGCCACACGTCTTCGCCATCACCGTGTTCGATGATTTCATCTTCTGGACCGATTGGAACCTGAAAGCCATCCAACGAGCCGAAAAATTCTCGGGAGCCAACATCCGATTATTGCGCAACACCACTCACAGGCCATACGATATCCATGCCTATCATCCTCTGCGACAATTGTCTTACAAGAATCCTTGCGCACTGAACAATGGTGGCTGCTCTCATCTTTGTTTGATATCACCACCTGCAAGTTCTTACTTGTTAGAAGGCTACGGTCAGCCCGGTGTGACCTCGTACAAGTGTGCGTGTCCAAACCAATTTATATTGGAAAACGATGGCAAGACTTGCAGGGCCAATTGTACCGCCGGCCAGCATCGTTGTGGTGCCCCTGATGAGAAATGTATACCGTGGTACTGGAAGTAAGTGATTTCAATTGAAATTATTCGTTACCAACGTTTGTTTCCACAATTCTCTAAACAAATAACACTGTAATTAAAATTTTCAATTAAAGATGCGACGGTGAAAAGGATTGCAAAGACGGTTCCGATGAACCAACGACTTGCGTACCACGAGTGTGCCGTCCCAGCGTCTTCCAGTGTGCAAATGGCAATTGCAGACCTAGCGTAGCGGTATGCGATGGCGTTGATGATTGCGGCGACAAGAGCGACGAAGCAATTTGCTCATTAGAATGTGGCGAATTAGAGTTTAAATGCAAGTCTAACGGACGTTGCATCCACCAGTCTTGGAAATGCGACGGGGATATTGATTGCAAGGATGGTAGCGATGAAGATCCTGCTATTTGCCGTAAGTATTGGGCACTTACCTATTGTTTTTTGCCAATTTTAAATATACTTTATGATCAAGTAATGATTAAACTTTGTACGCAGACAATCGAACATGCGATCAAAGCACGGAGTTTACATGCAAGAACGGCCGGTGCATCCAGAAAGTATGGATGTGTGATTCTGACAATGATTGCGGGGACGACAGCGATGAACCAGCGTATATGTGTCGGCAGAGAAATTGTACCACGGGTTGGCAGCGTTGCCCAGGCCATGCTAACTATCGATGCATACCCAAATGGTTGTTCTGCGACGGTAAAGACGACTGTCGCGACGGATCTGACGAATTGCCTGAGAATTGTCTCAAGTGCGATCCAAAGATGGACTTCAAATGCGCCAATAATAGATGCGTACCGAAACAATGGCTCTGTGACTTTGCTGATGATTGTGGGGATGGCAGTGATGAGGCAGAGGCTGTTTGTAAGGGTCGCTATAGAGAGTGTTCTGAGTCCGAATTTCGTTGTGACAATGGCAAGTGCATTGCATCCAGGTGGAGGTGTGATAGCGAGGATGATTGCGGTGATAGCAGTGATGAGAATGGATGCCAGACATTCGTGTGCAAGGTAGGTTCTAATAATTCTTAAAAATCAAAGATGATTCAAGGTTCTTAAAGCCATAATAATTTTATTCGTATCGAATTTATCGTCTAATGCAAACACTTTTATATTACAGAATTATACATTCCAATGTGCGAGCGGACACTGCATAGCGTCCTACCTGCGATGCGACGGAACAAGAGACTGCAGGGACATGAGCGATGAGGTTGGATGTCCTCCAAGGTATCCGGGTGGAAGGTACTGCCCGCAGTCGAGATTCGAATGTGAGAACAACCTGTGTGTATATCTCACTGACATTTGCGACGGCAGCGACGACTGTGGTGATGGGTCTGATGAGAATCCGAATATGTGTGGTAATGCTCTCAAACATACTAATTGTAAGACTGTGTGTATGAAAAACTTATAACTAACTAGATAATGTATTTAGCAAACTTCAAATGCGATACAACGAGAAGATTCCAATGCGCAAATCATAAGTGCATCGCCAAGTATCAGTTATGCGATGGTTTTGATAATTGTGGTGATGGGTCCGACGAGAACAATATGACAATGTGCGCAACCAAGATCAACGCATGCGATCCCATAACCGAGTACACTTGTTCCAACAAGAAGTGCGTCGAGCGTACCAAACTCTGTGATTTTGCCGACGATTGCGGCGACTCTTCCGACGAGCTTGGCTGCCGTAAGTCTCAGTAGAGTCGCATGAATAAAAAAAAAACCTCAGACTTTTATTTTTAAGTAACAGAAGGCGCCTACTACCGTCATTGATAAACGAAATCTTTGCAGATCACAATAAGCCATGTTTGGACAGCAATAAAGGCGGCTGCTCTCATTACTGTCACAACATCACCGACGGTGGTTACATTTGTGCCTGTTACCCAGGCTACATAATATCACAGGACAACAGAAAGCATTGCGAGGACATCGACGAATGTGCCACTGGCCAACACCAGTGTTCCCAGATCTGCACCAACATGAATGGTACCTATTCCTGTTCGTGCAGACAAGGCTTCCAGCTGTCTGATAATCGTAGCGGAGTCTGCAAAGCTTTGGACTCCGAAGGAATGGTGTTGTTCGCGAATGGGCCAGAGATTAGAGCCTATGAGCTTAATAAGAAAGACGAGGCCGTGGTGATTGCCGACGAGAAGAGGGTGAAGTACATTGACTTCGATCCAAAGGAAGAATATGTGTTCTGGATTGATAGTCACGACAATACTATCAAGAGGTCTTACATGCTAAATGCAAAAGGTGGTCAAGTGGAGATAGGATACGCGCAGGATCTGAATATAAAGAGTAATTTCATTTAATATTTATTAAATGTATTTTGTATAAAAATCTATAGTCTAGTAACCATTTTTTAAATGAAGTCATTTTTATGAGAGTCAAACACAACGAATTTACTTATTTTAGGCGAATCAACACTCACCAGTTTGGCAGTGGACTGGATTAACGGTAATCTCTACTGGACCGAGATCGACTCAACAGGACCGACGCCATTTGGTCGAATAATGGTCTCTAAAGCTGACGGCAGGTATCGCCGAAGCTTGGTAACGGCGGGTCTTGAGATTCCAACTTCTATTGTCTTGGACCCCGAGTTAGGAAGAGCCATTTGGGCGGATGCTGGTAGCCAGCCGAAGATAGAGATTGCCTGGATGGATGGCGATAGAAGGAAGCAACTGGTTGGCGATAGAATTGGTCAACCCACTGCGCTTTCCATCGACTATTCCATGAACCACGTTCTTTACTGGGCTGACAGCAAACTAAATACCATCGAATCCATTGAACAGGTGAGATGGCAGTGTTACCTTCAACGGCTCACTTGAAATCTTCTTTTTTGAACGAACGATTTTTTTGCAGGATGGTTCGAACAGGAAAGTGATCCTGAAAGGCGGAGGCTTGAAGCGTCCAGTGTCTTTGGACGTGTTCGAGAGCAGTCTTTACTGGACCACCAAACAGACTGGTGAACTGATCAAGCAAGACAAGTTTGGCAGAGGTGTGCCACAAACAATCATCAACGATTTACTCGTATCCGGAGGAGTGAAGGTGTACCATGGACTACGATACAACGTTTCTGTGAGACATCTTTGCCACGATGATCAATGCACGCATCTCTGTGTACCCATTTCGCGCGATAGTATCCGATGTCTTTGCTCGGATAGCATCGGTCCATTCCCGCAAAGCGGCAGTTTGCTGCGGAACGAGCGGCATTGCGATGCAACGAATGAGAGACCGTTGCCTGCACCAAGAATCTGCCCTTGCAGAAATGGCGGTTTGTGTCAGGAAGGAGAGGACTATAAATTACAGTGCTCCTGCCCGGCTTTCTTCCACGGGGAATTCTGCGAAATTGGTCTGGTGGCCGCATCATCGGGTAATGCTACCGCTGCCATCGTTATTCCCATTGTCATCTCTGTGCTGATCCTCCTGGGAGCAGCCGCTGTCGTTATGGTGCTTAAGAAACGACCGTTGTAAGTGTTCAGTAAAATGAAATCTGAGAACTCGCACAATTTAAATTGAAGCCGAAGATATACTGTAACGTATATTAATTGAATTTTTAGTGGCAAACCTGGTGGTCTGGGCAGTCTAACCGGTGCCCAAAGCGTGTCCTTTAGACAGGGCAGCAACGTTGAGTTTGGCGTGCCTGCTCATGAAAGAATGGTATGTAAAACCATGTGTATTTTATACTACATAATCTTCTACAATTTTGATGTTATAAGCATTCTTACAACCAGCTTTCTGGGTACTAATGAGAGGCGATTGATTGAAAACAGGAACCTTTGGATGTGGAGTACAACCTTGGCGACGTGAGCAACAAGAACAGGGATTTCAGCAACCCCATGTACGACGCGGTGAACACTGAAACAGGTGCTACCAACGGCACCGGTGCAAGCAGCATGTACGAGCTACCTGCTGAGATGAAACCATCCAGCATCCAGCACAAAGAACCACCGCAACTACATCTCAAAAGGAGAGAACTTGACCCCACGCCGATCGATTCGGGGAAGGACACGCAACAGTTGGTCGAGGAAGACAAGTCCGAATGTTAGATAGTTTAAACTCTTTCGTGCAGTGACGTAGTTAGAAAGAAGTAGGATATGAGATGCGTAAAACTCAACAGCAAGGAAACCTCGATTGCCTGTGAAATTGCAATTAGATTGAGTCTTGACTGATACCCATTTTTACTCTCTGAATTTTCGCTTTTTACGCGGAATATTTTACAATATTAATTTTAATATTATATTTCCTTTATCTGTACCAATCAAGACTCAAAGCTAATACGTTTGTGAGCATGTAATCCGATGCGGAGGGAAACGGAGCGATTCCTTGAATGGCAAATTTTATTTTAATCATTTTTTTTTTATAGATTTATTCAGCTTGACGGGAAAGAATTTCTATTAAGCATAAGACTGAATGTGTTTCGACGATGGTAATGTTTTTGAGAATGATGAATGCAAGAGCTGGGAACAAAATATCGTAAAAATCATGCGATGAAATTGCAGTGCGCTTTAGTGGTTTTTAGTACCGAGTTTCCTGCGCGTTGTCGGAGAGAGGAGCTCAGAAAGTTCGTCTGACTGCGCCACTGCTTCTACGTAGGGATGCTCTCGCATCTGTTGCACTTCCCTCTTGTGTTAGCGTTGATTTGAAAAGAGATCCTGTGAACAAAACTTGTGTCCAGATGTTGAAACGAATGTCCGAACTATTCTTGACCTGGCCTGAGATTGAAGTGCAGCGAATAGCGAGCCGTGTCATTTTAGGTGCGATTTGTAAGTCTTGTAAATACGATTATCGCAGAATATTATTTTCACGTTGTCCATGTACCATAAAGAAACAAAACATTCCATACTCTTTTCGGAGGCAGCTCGAGGCACGGAAAGGTTGTTAGAAGAAACAGAACAAAAACGAAAGAATAGTTGTTAATTTTTAAAGGGATAAGGCCTCGGCGAGCGCGAGTCACCTCACCTGAGACAAGAGTTTCTTTCCGTCACGAGTAGAGGAGGGACGAATCTCTTTGTGCGTAAAACAAACTGAAATGAAAAAGAAAAAAGACAATTCTCTGTGTCTACACCGTTTCTTCTCTCGATATTTGCTCTTTGGCCGCGTGAACGTTGTTATGTTGTACATTTTATTTTTCGTTTAGATTATGCGCGGGGAACGTCAGTGTACAGTTTTTCTTCCGTAGCAGCTGTGATCGTAAATTACGAATTGGGTAACCGAGTATGTGCGAAGCGATCTTGTTTTATTAACGAACAAAAGCGTACGCCTCAGACCGAGTTGGGGAGAATTTTAAGGGAAAGAAAAAAACAATAGAAGGAGTGTTTTTTTTTTAATCCACACACGTCGCGGTACAGTAGAATCTCGATTATGGTAGTAAGAGAAGTATTTTCTATGGAGAACGTAATTGTAAGCTTTGGAATATCTGGAGTTTGTTGTTGTACATTCCATAAAATTATACAGATTGTTAACATACTCTTGATCGGCCATTTTTTTTTCTCTACCAGCGTCCATCAACTTCATTATTTATTGCCTAATAAGTATCGATTACATCGAGCAAACTAAACGTGAGCAGTGATTCGGTAATCAAGTTTCTACTGTACAATCTATTTTTTTCTCTCTTTTTAACTATAATGTAACATGAGCGTTGTACATAGATTTTTTTTCCGATTAACAAAGAGAATGAGCGGCACTGACTCACTTTTACAGATTATACAGAAAGTTATATAAATAAAGAAATATAAATATATAAATATATATATGTGTATATATATATATATGTATATGTATATACATACATGTATCTATATTGTATATGTATGTACGAGCGTATGGGTAAATTATTGCGTCTCAAGCAACCTCGGTAATGATTTTATCCTGGGCGGGGCTCCGGAGTGTCCTAATTTTATTTTTTAATCGTACCAGTATTTTCTGTATTTCTTTTTTATCGAACGGGCGAGATGATGATTGTTAATATATTGTTCGATTATTAAACAAGTACCGTCCAAGAATAAATAATGAAGTTTAAAGACGTGCTTTCCCTCCATTTTGTAGCAGCAGTTCGCATGATCAGGTAGAAAGGTGACAATAGTAAGTCCCATGATTTATTTAATATTATACAAATATTTTAATCAACGACGCAATTTACGGCAATTGGATCTTAACATTTCACATTGAAAAATTTTATATCATCTAATATTCATTATTGCATTTTAAATTATCTGTACACATTCAAGTTTTTAATTATTTTGTCTTTACGTATGTATGCAAGAGTAAAATACGATTGTAATTGGCTATTTCCATCCTTGGTTTTCTTTAACAGGGAGTGTGAAGATACCCTCGAGAAACAATAGCAGATGGGAGATTTTTTGATACCAAAGGAGGGGATACTTCTTAAAAGCGGTCACTTGCCAAATTGTTTTATTATGACTCAGCCACAGGCCAGGCAAAATAAAATTCTAATACCTCCTCGCATATCATGTTCTTCCGATTTAGAAGCCCTTATAACTAGTTTTTGTAAATTAGCTAGCTAGCAGTAATTAGAGTCAATGGTCAAAGTCAGACGTTGGAAAAGGGAAGAGATCGTGGAATTCATTGGAAATTGTGATGTAAGGTGTATGGAAATCTGTAATTGAAATGATGTTTAGGTTGAGTTTTACAGTACTTTTAATTCAACTTACAAGTGCAAAGACAAATGTTTGCTAGGAAGATTAGGAAAGTTTTAACTTTATTTCGCTAAAATGATTTCTGTTTATAGACAATTAATCTATTAAAGATTATAGTACAAAACTTACAAATTACATAGTAGGTTCATTCATATATCATTACATTCTAGAAAGGGAGAAAGTCGATGGGGAAGCAATTATAACATTTTAATAATTATTAGTACGATACAGTATGATATAAATTTCCTTCCTCAACAGTGTCTTTACATTGTTTACAAACTTAGTTTACATTCAATGCAATGGCATCACAACACTTCTTCGTTATTCTATCTTTAGAATTGTAAAAAGTACTTTCAATTCCAATACAACACTAGCATACAAAATAAAAGTTGAATATTCTTTTTTCCGTTTCTTTTTTATATTAATATGCTATCAGTCTTAAACGCTTAAGCTGAACCGTACAATTAATTCAACACAAGTTTCTCAAATAACGATTTGCCCAATGAATATCAATTTCTTCTGTGTATGCATATTAAATATAATACTTTCATTCGTTCATATATTCTTACGTTAACAATATATACTTAAAATTAAAATCTACGAGCAAGTTGGACCTTCAGCGACGAAAAGTTCGATATGTACATTGTACATATCCAAGTGAAGCAGCGACGGGCCGCGTACTGTGGGAAGATGGGTGAACAGTTTGAAGAGTTTTGATACAGAGAAAAAAAATAGAATTGGCAGAATACACACAATAATATATAACACCAACTCTCTTATCGCATCCCAGTTGGTGGGGAGCAGAATACACCAACAGTAGGGCGTTAGAAACCCGCACCCTCTTTTACAATCCGTAAACAAAAAGTATTCAGTTTTCTTTTCTTCAATCAGTCGCATCACGAAGCAATAAATAAATGTAATTCGTCAGAATTTTCTGAATATTTTCTCAATCTATTCCACTTTGGTAGCAGTTTGTTCGTCGTATTGTACAGACGGCACCATGGGAGGCTTGAAGCCATACTCCATCTTGGACTGCCTAAAGCTACCGGTATTTCCGATCACTCCGTCCTGCCTAGTTCTCCTCATGGTTGTTTGAATATCCGAAGTGTACTGTNCTAATATTCATTATTGCATTTTAAATTATCTGTACACATTCAAGTTTTTAATTATTTTGTCTTTACGTATGTATGCAAGAGTAAAATACGATTGTAATTGGCTATTTCCATCCTTGGTTTTCTTTAACAGGGAGTGTGAAGATACCCTCGAGAAACAATAGCAGATGGGAGATTTTTTGATACCAAAGGAGGGGATACTTCTTAAAAGCGGTCACTTGCCAAATTGTTTTATTATGACTCAGCCACAGGCCAGGCAAAATAAAATTCTAATACCTCCTCGCATATCATGTTCTTCCGATTTAGAAGCCCTTATAACTAGTTTTTGTAAATTAGCTAGCTAGCAGTAATTAGAGTCAATGGTCAAAGTCAGACGTTGGAAAAGGGAAGAGATCGTGGAATTCATTGGAAATTGTGATGTAAGGTGTATGGAAATCTGTAATTGAAATGATGTTTAGGTTGAGTTTTACAGTACTTTTAATTCAACTTACAAGTGCAAAGACAAATGTTTGCTAGGAAGATTAGGAAAGTTTTAACTTTATTTCGCTAAAATGATTTCTGTTTATAGACAATTAATCTATTAAAGATTATAGTACAAAACTTACAAATTACATAGTAGGTTCATTCATATATCATTACATTCTAGAAAGGGAGAAAGTCGATGGGGAAGCAATTATAACATTTTAATAATTATTAGTACGATACAGTATGATATAAATTTCCTTCCTCAACAGTGTCTTTACATTGTTTACAAACTTAGTTTACATTCAATGCAATGGCATCACAACACTTCTTCGTTATTCTATCTTTAGAATTGTAAAAAGTACTTTCAATTCCAATACAACACTAGCATACAAAATAAAAGTTGAATATTCTTTTTTCCGTTTCTTTTTTATATTAATATGCTATCAGTCTTAAACGCTTAAGCTGAACCGTACAATTAATTCAACACAAGTTTCTCAAATAACGATTTGCCCAATGAATATCAATTTCTTCTGTGTATGCATATTAAATATAATACTTTCATTCGTTCATATATTCTTACGTTAACAATATATACTTAAAATTAAAATCTACGAGCAAGTTGGACCTTCAGCGACGAAAAGTTCGATATGTACATTGTACATATCCAAGTGAAGCAGCGACGGGCCGCGTACTGTGGGAAGATGGGTGAACAGTTTGAAGAGTTTTGATACAGAGAAAAAAAATAGAATTGGCAGAATACACACAATAATATATAACACCAACTCTCTTATCGCATCCCAGTTGGTGGGGAGCAGAATACACCAACAGTAGGGCGTTAGAAACCCGCACCCTCTTTTACAATCCGTAAACAAAAAGTATTCAGTTTTCTTTTCTTCAATCAGTCGCATCACGAAGCAATAAATAAATGTAATTCGTCAGAATTTTCTGAATATTTTCTCAATCTATTCCACTTTGGTAGCAGTTTGTTCGTCGTATTGTACAGACGGCACCATGGGAGGCTTGAAGCCATACTCCATCTTGGACTGCCTAAAGCTACCGGTATTTCCGATCACTCCGTCCTGCCTAGTTCTCCTCATGGTTGTTTGAATATCCGAAGTGTACTGTATAGATTTGGATTGGATACCAATGGGCACCTTTCTTGGAACAGGACCCACGTATTCATCGTGGATTTTATCCTTCTCGACCCTCCCGTAAGACACTGTATTACCACCATTGTTTCCATGCGAATAGGAATGGGAATACTGGGATCCATACGATCCGAACTTCTTCGGCAGCGAAGGTACCACCGGTTGCCTAGCTAAAGGGCGATTCAGAGCGTAACCAAGACCGTAGAGTTGCGTCGAATTATTGTTGTAATAACCCTGGTCCTCATTGACGGACCCATACGGGGGACCCGGTAGCGTTTGGAAACTTTGCTGTCTGATCACCTGTTGGTAGTTCCCGTCGTTCTGAACGTTGTAGATTGGGATTGCCACGGATTTCACGAACTTTGCAGCCTCTATAGGATACGGCCTTGCGACATGCACCACTGGCTTTTCCACGACCTTTTCCACTGGAACTGGCACCGGTACAGGCTTCTCCACTACCTTCTCCACCGGAATTGGAACCGGTTGCGGCACCCTGAAGTGGATCGGGAATGGAATGAGCACCCTCTGGATCGCGATCGGCACCTTCTTCTCGATCACTTTCTCCACGTGCACCGGGTAAGGAATTCGAATCTGCTTTTCCACTATTCTGTCCACCGGCACGTGCACGGGGAAAGGTTGCGGGATCGTTATTTGTTTTTCGATCACTTTCTCCACAGGATATGGCTGAGGCGCGGTCATCACCAGCCTCAGTTGTGGATCCGTTTGCGTATCACTGGCAGGTTTATTTAACAGAATCTGAGGCAGCTCTTGAGTTCCTTGAACGTCCCTGCCTCCCAGGTTCGCCAAGTTTGGCAGCAGTTCCACTACCCTGGAAGGCTGTTCCCTGGCACCGAAAGTAGCTTGGCCATTGCTAGCAGAGTAAACGACGTCATTCTCGCTTGCATTGTACTCATAACGACCACGTTCTTGACTGTTCCCAAGGACTATCTCGTCGGTGACCTCGTTGCTCTTGTAGACGTTGACCTGGCCTGGCCTCCTCTCCTTGAACTGACCCTTCTGAATCTTTCTGTAGTCATTCTGCTTGGCCAGAGGTTGCTCGTTGTTCGGAACGTACTCCATAGGGTAATGGATCTCGTGCACCGGCGCCGTGTGATAAATCTCCACCGACTTCTGTATCTCCACTGAATGCGTGGGGGCATTCGGCGCTGACACTTCGGAGACTTGTTCTTGTTGGGGTAATTGATCGCTTTGGAGATTAGTATTACCCCCGTCTGCAGAGTCGTTTCGTATGACACTCTCTGAACTAGGGTTGACGAACTGCGAGGAGTGAGCCTCGTCCTGGAGATAGTCTTTAGTCGCTGTGTCGGGATCATTGAGCGAATGCAGGTCTTGACCAGCGTTCATTAGAGCAACGCCGACCTGCAGAGGATTCAGGATAACCGAAGATGCCGTCAGGTATCCTGTTTCCGACGCTTTCGCTCTCGTTGTTTCTGCAGTGGATTTGGATACCTCGTTGTTACCCAAGTAATCAACCGTGCTGGAGGAGTATTTCTTCTGACGGGGCAAGTCTGGCACCACGATGGGCCCAGAAAATTTACCCAGGGACACTGTCCCAGTCGAGGAGCCACTCTCCTTGTTATACAGCTCCAAATTATGTTTCTTCAGCTTCTGTTCCCTGTTCGCCGTCTGCGACCCTTCCTCGGTTGACCAAGGCAGGCTTGTCGGTTTGCTACTTTGATAGTAGTCGCTCTTAACATGGTCTTCCTCGGTATCCTTCTGCCTCTGAATTTTCTGAGACTCCGCAGGTGTGACCGACGAGAACAGTACTTGCTCGTCCGTGGACGTACCGAGAGCATTTTCTGAAACGTTTGGTTTCTTGGAGCCTAGTGGTCTCGTGTACTTTCTGCTGTGTTTTCTGTACTCTTCAGGGGTGGATGCGTTGTCAACAGGCTGTCTAAATTTCAGTCGACCGAAGCTATTGCTCCTCTGTCTCCATACGGGCGAACGGACCCTCTGACCGAACTCTCCGGCTGTCTCTACGTCGATTTGCTCCTCAGGAACTGAATACCCTAAGTCGTTGTAGCTGTTCTCTTGGGTAGCGGGGAAGGTGGTCGACTCTTGAAGTATAATTTCCTGCGACCGCAGGTACTCCACCGTGACCGTGTCGTTGGGGACGTTCTGACTGGTTCGTGCTGGTCTTGGAACAGCGTCTGATTCGTTCGGACCGTTCTCTTGGGCTCGTCTTTCATCGCCGGAGACGAGGTACGGTTGGACCACTTGCTTCGAGTGTCGCTGCTGGCTGTCGATTTGGGTTTCATTCTGAAATTACATTGGAAACTAACTAGAGTGCCTCGTTGCCGCGTCAACTAAACGTATAATGCACGGTTCCATTCTTCAGCTGCCTCATAATTTTTCATCTTGAGAAATAGCAATCGAGACTATTACTTAAGAAGCTGTTATATTTATGTAAGCAGATTTCTAATAAAGGTTTGACTACACGGAAGCTGCTCTGAACGCCCTGATCTTTCTGGAACGTCAGGCGAACTTTGGGAAGAGGTTGAATTCGGAATTACGAGCCAATTGAGGGCATTGCTTATTTAAGGAACAGCGTCCGGCAGACGGTTTGCGCAAACACGAACGTCAGCTAATTTGGCCAGACTAATAATTTGTTTCCAAAGACGAGGAGGTGTCTCCTTTTACGTTTGATCAAGTGAAAGCGTCTTCGAGGGGTCATCGCCGATGCGAAATATGTGGAATTCGCGTTACATCGGATACTGACGCAACGAATTGCGCATTCCTGTGGACCATTAGCCGCTTACTTAACTGGCTGAGAATCTATAATTTTCCTTGACATTTTTCAAATTACACTTTGAGAATTCTGAAGCCATTCATAGGATCGTTTGGCACCCTAAAATGTTAACTACATTAGGAACAGAAAACAGGTTTGCGTCGCGCCATGTATTGCTTTACATTACAAGATTCCATAATTTTCTCAACTTCCTGGCTTTCGAACTCCTCTCAGCAAGTGCAGCACAACGTGATTATCCAGCGTTTGTTGCGTCGAAAGCGAATTGCTTTCCATCAATCAGGAAGGGAAAGCACGGAAATCACTGTTACTGAGTTTTAAGAAGTGTCCGATTGGTCGTGGAACCAACGCATTATCGAAATTTCACTCTCCGTTCTGATACCAACCGTCCCATAATCGTTATCATTCACTGGGATGAACTTGACTGTCGCTATCCTTGATTCCTCGGGGTTGTTCTTCTGAGAAGTGTTCTGGGGCTCGTCGCTATTGTTCAGGTTGACCGTGTATTGGCCGTCGACGGCTTTCTTTGTCTCCTCCTTCGCTTGACTGACTATGGTTTTCTCAAATCTGTGCTCTGAAACTGTCTGTAACGAAAGAAATTCCCGTGAATAGTGAAAGTCTACTCTATTACGCTGTATTAATATGAATTATAATTATTTATATAATAATTATAATAATAATAATCTGTATAATTAATAATTAAAATTAAAAGAATAAAGTTAATAATTAAAAGAATAATAATTTAAAGAATAAGGTTAATCAAATTTTTGTTGCTGTTTTCTTTTCTTTTTATTCAAATCAAAACCATGCTACTCAAATTTTTAAGAGATTACGACATCTGTTTAAAGTCGTCGTTCTTCTTCTCATCATTAGAAATCTATTGTACGTTCTCTCAAATGATGTATCCTAAATTTTGAAGACATGTACGGTTTTCAAGTTATAAATAATATCAAATTAAACTTAAAATCATTTGAGAGTACAGATAATCTCAGATCTTTATTTGTCACGTTGTTAAGCTGTTTTGATTTACTTGGAATTAGACTGAGTATAATGGATAACTTTCCACGTACAGAACTGGCGTTTGAACCATTGAATGTTAGTCTATAATCTGTCCACATCTTTTAAACAATACTTTATCCGAATGATCTAGAAAATAAAGATTTACAGATCGTTGCTACTAAATTATGCGCTCCAGAAGCATGTTGTATCTTGCTGAAACAATTCCATCTGAAACCCTTCATTTGGAACTCTGATTAGAACTCATCTGGATCTTTAATCTGCTTGGCGCAGCACAAATAAAATTGTACAACACCAACAACCTGACTGACTTAATCTACCACGCCTGACACTTTTAGCCTTAGAAATTTCCCCCTAGAAGCACGTTCTAGACATTTCTCATTCTAAGAAAACATGATCGACCTCAACGTTTTAATCTATCAGCATCAAAACCTAGCAAAACCCATACTTAAACAACTCCATCGAAAATTATTCCACTTGGAAGATATTATATTGTGCCCACAATTATGAAAGTGGTCTAAGTCATATATTTCTTGTTTCGAGATATTTAATGAATCGCATTTGAATAAATTAAAAAATATTTTTACATTATGCGACATTTTAATTTATAATTTTATTAGTCTTGATTAATGGAAATTTATTACAGATATGAAATTTTGTGTGAATTTCATAGGAAAATGTTGTTTTTAAAGCTTGAATTGACTTAGATCATTTTCAAAATTAACTGAATGTCCTATAATTGACTTAAAGTAATAAAAAATTGTGATTTTTATTTGAGCCGTTTATTTTGAAAGTGGTGTAAGTCCAATGTCATCGAAAGAAATTGTAAGTGGCGTTGCATGGGGTATTTAGACAATACAAGCTCAGATGCGGCATTTTGAATTTCTTTAAAAAAAAAGAACTTATACCACTTCCAAAATAAACGGTCCATTTGAAACAACAACTTTAACGAAATAATTCATAAACATTTATTAATCATTTTTAAAAAGTAATCCATTTTTTATCATAATTCCGAGTTTTTAAGATTTTTAAAATGTTCCTGAAAAACTGGAGGGATGTATGGTAGTAAACACATAAGATCTTTATGTTTTTCTTCCGTTACT